TGGTTTCCCCATTGGGATGAAATAGAAATCTTTAGCACTAACTCCCCAGTGGCGGGCACATAGTAGGTGCCCAGTGATGTTTGTTGAGTGAATGAATATATAATTCTTCATCTAAGTTAATTTCAGCCAAGGCCCTCGGGAAGGTCAGGAGGCCGGCCAATTAATAGAGTCTGAAGGCCAGTCTGAGATGATTCCAGTCCCCACGAACAGCCAGAACCAGGCAGTAGAGGCCTCTCTGGGGGACTCTAGTGTCCTGCTCCCCACTCCAACCCCACTCCCCTGCAAAAATGTCTTAAGGACAGCAGGAAACATGTTCTGAGAAGCTGGGGTCAGACACGAGACAGAAATGAAGTGGATCAAAGGCTTCCAACTCCCGAGAAGAAAGGTACAGGGAAGGTGAGAGGTACTAGCAATTTTTGGCTATCCCAAATCCGCTGGAATGGGTCGTGCCCAAGGCCAAACGGTACTTAGGAACAAAGCCCTTTGCTGGAATCTGTAAGGCAGCCAGAAGCGCAGATGATCTCCTACACTCACTGCCACTCCGCAGAGGCAGGACACAGAGCACGGAACGCCGAGAATCTACTTGCTTCTAAGGAGAAGAGTGAAATTTAGGACAACAGAACAGAAAATTCCAACCATCCAAATAACCTCGCCCCGTGCAGATGGGAAAACATGGCAGGCTAGGTCAGCGGTGGCCAGGACGGGGTGGGGAGGGCTGCAGGCTTGGTCAGGAGAGGAAACATTGACCAAACTGGAGAAAACACAAAGAACATGTGGTGGCCAAGGGGGTGGGTGAGGATACGGTAGGAATCCAAGTGGGTGAGTGTGCTGCTAATTTCCTGTGGGTTTCCAGAACACTGAGGAAGACGCAAGAGACCACCCAGTAGCCAGGAGCAGGGGAACAGGCTGCCAGAGCCTTTGATTTGAAACTCAGAGATGAGCTCCACACCAAGGCTGACTCCTGGGGCCTTTGCCTTGAGAGGTTTTTTTTTTGTTTTGTTTTGTTTTTGTGATTTGCATCACAACCATCTATTTGCATCTCAACTGTCATGCAGTGCTGAACGGGTCTTTAGGGGTTTCAGCCCATCCTATCCCTTCCTTCTCTGGCTTCTGTGAGTGGTCTATAGCTGGGCAAAAGAGAAGAAATTGCTCAGTGGGACTTGACAATGAGAATGGAGTCCTTGGGAGACTGAAAGGGCTTCTTTCAAGCACCTTTGTGGTCTTGAATTTTCCTGCAGACCCTGAGATTCAGCAAGAAACGGAGCAGAATCTTCCATCTGGAGGGGATGGCTGGCATTATCTAGTCTTTGTAAATTAGATTAGCATACTTTTTCGGAAGGACTGCCACAAAGTACTAACTGAGAGGTTAACCTGCTTCCTCCTTCCCTTTCTGTTTTCCATCAGCACCCTCAACTGCCCCCACAGTGGACCTTCAAGGTCACCATCTTACAGAAACTCAGCAGGAATTGGGTTTTAGCGTAGAGGCACTTGACTGATGATCTACTTTGGATAAAGCCACCTCACTGTTACTTTTATCATCTAATCATGCTTTAATTGAACCAGTACATATATCTGCAGTGCCTCCCAGTGCTGGGTTATACTGCTGAGCAAAAGCAGACCCGCCCTGCCTGTGAATGATTACGTCCAATCGGGGCAACAGACAGTACTGAGATGATCACACTAGCAACTACAAAACCACGATGAGGCTGGGTGCGAGGGAGAATCACGTGGTTGTTTAGACTCTCTGACAAAGGGGTTTCACCTCTCTCTCCTCTCCCTCCTCCAAGTCTGATTGATGAACACATTTTTTCTGCCACCCCAGCAAATCCAGGCACCTTCACCCTGGGCACAAATCCCAACAGATGTATTCAGCCCCTCCTCCTCCCCTCCCCCCAAGAGAACTAGAAGAAATGACACCTTTTTAAAAATCCCTTTTATAAAAGATGCCTGATTTCTCTTTGAGGTTCCCTGATTTCCCCCAGATTCTGGACTTTGGGCAGTCCTCAAATGCCAGTGGCTGCTGTCTTCTGCTCCTTGTTGGCAACGTGGCTAAATGCTCCGCCCTGGGAACCTGGGGCCCAACCCTCAGCACCCAAGAGTGGGCCTCAGGAGTATTTACCCCATCCAGACCTGGATCCTTCCAGAATTCTGGAGAGTGGAGAAGAGATGGGCAATACAAAAGAGCAAGGCGATTTAGAAAGCAATTTATTCTCCCCTCTTATTTAGGAATCGGTCCAGGACCCTGTCTGGGATGGTCTGGGTGTAGCTCTCCCAGGGAGGCTGGACAGTGACCCAGAAGACCATAGGGCGGGGAGTTGGGGCTCCTGGGCTGCCCTTCGTCCTCGATGGTTCTCTCTCTGTACCTCACTGTGCCCTGGAAAGGTGGGGTCCTGGAGAGGGGAGGCCCACCCTTTGCTGTCAGACACTGGTCAGTTCCCTGGGGCAAGGCGCACAAAGGTCCCTGCGAGTGCTGGGCACCCTGTCCACAGTGGGCATGCTGCTGCACGTGCCTAGGTGGGGAGTGGCCACCAGAGGCCACACCCCCTGCAGCACTACTGCAGATTGGGAGAGGGCTTCCGGCAAAGCAGGGTTCAGCTAAGCCCCAGGGGCCAAGGTGACCTTGAAATCCCTTGCATGGTGCAAGGGCCCTGGGGTTTCTGGCCTTGCTGGTGGCAATGCTCCCTGGACCCATCTGGTTGACATGTGGGTGTGCGGCAGGTACTGGGCTAAGTCCTATAGACTAACGGACTGATCTCCTATCTCTGTCCCTTGCTGGCATTCTCTGTGGCAGACGCAAACGTGTAGCAGTTTTCCCAGTTCCCCAGCCCTCTGGCAGTGAGGTGGGGCCTATTCCCAGTACTGGGCAGAAGTCATGGGCAGAAGTCACAGGATGATGCCCAGAAGAGGTGGTGCTTCCTCCCCTAACTGTCCCCTCTCTCCCTCAGTGACCCATGTGACTGCAGAGTGTGCACCTGAGCAATGACGCAGAGCGGGGTCTCCCTGCCCACCTGTGCCGACGGGTAGTAATAAGTCTCTGGGGGAGAAACAGCCCTGTTTCAGGGTTAATTGTTACTGTGATAGAGACAGATACATTTTCACACAGATGAGCAAAGTGACATTTAGAAAGGGCAGTGACTCACCCAAGGTCACAGAGATAGCAAATGGCAAGGCCGGACTTGAACATAGGCCCCGTCTATCTCCAGAGCTTGGGCCGTGAACTACTACACAAGCTGCCTCCTCTCTGGATTGCCTCCAGAATTAAACCCCAGTTCCTTGGCTTGGCATTCAAGGCTCTAAAAAAAACTTGTGTCCTGGCCCACCATTCCACCAGCCCACTACACAAACCCTCATGCAGGTTCCTTCCTTTGGGCCTCTCTGTGGGCCATGCCCACCCACCAGCCCTCCTGGCTGATTTGTGTCCCAAGGCTCAGCCTTGGTCCCCTTTTACCACAGAGCCTTTGTGAGTCCTCTGGTCCCTTCTTCCCCCTTCCCCAGTTGAGCTCTGAAACCCTCGCTGCCCGCTGTCACTGGCCCGCACGCTGGTACCAGTGTCTCTTTTCCCTTGGACATTAGTGACAGCCTGAAACCAGAGATGGGACTTTTCCTGAGGCTCTCCCTCACACAGCGGTGTCTAAAGGGGGCGCTGCCCTCCGGGGGAATAAAAGATGACCCATCGGGGCGTGAGAAAATGTTGGACTTGTTTTTATACCTGCTTATCTCCTCCTTTGAAACTTTTGATATTTTTGCACATGTTTTAAAATTACATACTACACTTGTATAAACACACTTGGCCCTTTAGGACAGTGACCATGGGCTACACTCCCTCAAGGGACCAAATATAGTTCCTTATAAACAGTAGGTGCCCAGTACATACTTTCGTTACTAGGTATGGGATGACCTAGCAAGAGATCGAAGATGTGGTGCGTGCACATACGTACGTATACACACACACACACACACACACACACACAGGGACTGACATCTTCATGGCCAGGTCCTTGCAGGGATGAGGGCGGGAATGGGGGCGGGGCCGCTGCCGGGATGAGGAGTGGGGTTAGGGCAGGAGGGGGAGGACCCTGTCCACTGGAGAGAAGCTGACAGAAGAGTGGTGGGTGGTGGGAGGAGGGGCCCCTGGGCAGGAGTGCTGGGCAGGGAGAGTGGAGAGGGGCAGAAGGAGCAAGCAGGAAGCCAGGCCCGGAGCAAGGCCAGCGCGGGAGCCCCGCATTGTGAGGAGTAATTGCAGAGAAGCCCCTCAGGCTGGAAAACCTAATGGAATTCCTGAGCAGAATGGGCCAGGGAGCAGCGGTAATAAATAGAAGTGCTATTAACGATTGTGGCTGCTGACAGGCAGGGGCGACCTGGTGCTTGAGAGGGGCAGGGAGGAGGCAGACTGAGAGGGTCCCCAGCAGCTCGGAAGCCTGTCCCATCCAGGCCTGGAGGGGCACGGGCCCCATCCCGAAGTCCCCCTCCTCCTGTCCTTCCCAAGCTCTCCCCCACTCGCAGCCCATGTCCCTTTCTCTTACGACGCCTCAGCCAGGCAGGTCCGGCCTGCAGGCTTCCTGGATCTCTGGTCTCCTGTGGCCTGGGGTCCCCTTGAAAGCACTCATGCTCCTCACACGGAAAAAGGAGGAGTCATTACTACCAAAAGCAGAAATCAGACTTTTTTCCAAGGACATATTTCACCCAAGAGTCTCCAACTTTAAAAATTTCGATTTTTCGGTGTATGTTTTATAAGGCGCATACTAGATTAGCAAGATGGGCATATTATTTCAAAATACGTTACTAAATAAACGACTAAATGAAGAACGACACATTGGAAGTGGGTGCTCAAATAGCCTTTGCAGAGGTGGGGGGTAGGTCGCAGGTTAGAGACGCGGAGTTTTGCCGGGGAGGAGGGAGCAATGTTTGTTTCTATTTTTTTTTTTTTTTTTAGCTAGGGACTTGGAAGCCTAGAAATACCTGGCACCCTTCCCAGGGTTGCAAAGCCTTCTGGGACTCACCTCATCCTTGTCCACCACCTGGATGAAGAGGGGCAGGGCAAAGCCGACCTGCGCTAGCTCGGTGATGGCCACGCTGTATTCAGAGCTGTTGAACTCTGGGGCATTGTCATTGATGTCAATAACCAGGATGTTGAAGGTTGTGGTGACTGTGGCATCGGACGGGGTGCGGTCATCATTCAGCTCTGTGCCCTGTAGGTACAGGACAAACATCCTAGACACGAAAGTGGCCATAATCCCAACATCATCGTTTACGAAGGCTTTGTCAGTGCTACCTCCCATCCTTTATGTGAATTATCCCTTCCCCTCACCACAACCCCAGGAGGAAGATTCTGTCGTTAGCACCCCCATTTTACCATTGAGGAAAACCGAGGCTCAGAGAGGTTAAGTAACTTGTATAAGGACACACCATCAGAGTAAGTGGCAAACTGAGGCAAGAAGCTTCCAGAACCAAGGGGACGAGGTGGCATGGTGATGACAAGACAGATTTTGGGGCTCATCGAGGGGCAAAGGGAGACTATTCAATTTGGCAGATGATAAAACCGAGGCCAAGCATTTTTGTGCTAGCAGGTAATCAAGACTTAATTTGGCATCTGGTATGGCCCAAACGCTGTGCTAGGTGCCATGAGGGTCTGGGTCGGGGTCAGGAAAGATGGTCTCAAATCCCTGGATGCCTGTTCTCTGGAGCAGACCCCTGGCTCCCAAATACCCATTTCCAGTTTCCACTCCTGTCTTCTGGACCCAAATCTCTGGGCGGGAGGCCCAGGACTAAGTATCTTTGGCCAGAGGCTTGATGCGGGGTGGGGGGAAAGGCGGTGTTAGCCTACCTCCCCCCACTGGCCCACATGTGCACACTGGGTGGAGACAGAGGAGCCGGATGGCCAGGGAGAGCTAGTCAACCTGTCGCTGCTGCAGCCCTCCCAAGGTCAAGGAGAGCAATCAAGGGCCAGGCTGGGCTGCCTTATTCTCCTCAGGACAGAAGGGCCTCCTTCCCCAAGCCCCTCTCCTCAGTGCTTGTGCCCTCCCCTGCCTCAACCGGATGGGCAGGGCTGGGGAGGAGCCCTGTGGCCCAGGCGGGTCCACACTCTACATCAGTTTCCCAGGCAATGGCTCTGCAAAGCACAGATTTCAATTAAAACCGGCCCTGGGTGGCAGAGGGCTACAGGAGCCTGGGGCTGTGACTCCACCACACCTCTAGGAGAAGCATCTGGCACTTTCCACCTCTCCCCTCTCGGTACTGCTGCTTCTAACCAGGGGATAGCCCCAGGGGAGCTAGAAATGGGACACACCCCAGAAACGGGATCAATGTAAGAATTTGAGGTGGCTGCAATGGAGAATAGGGAATCACCAGTACAAGAAAGGACCATGGATGAGCACCTACTATGTGCCCCCTCACTCCTAAAGTGGAGATAAAAGTCCCAATCCTATGTGATTTTTGGCAACAGCTGTGAGGCGCCCAGCAAGGCCCTCAATGTGGCCTCTGCTTGGTCCGCGTTGTCGGTTCCTGACAGTGGCCCTGGGCGCGAGGCCCGGGAGTCCTGCCGGGCAGGAGGCCAGGAGCGCCGCCCTCCAGGAGCCTCAACAGGCGGCACAGCTGTAGGCTGGCACCACAGTGTGGGCAGCCCTCCACACGGGCTGCAGGTGCCCACCACCTGGCTCTTACCTTCACCGTCAGGATGAAGCCGTGGCTGTACAGGGGGTTCTCCCGGTCCAGCAGGCCGTTCAAGGTCAGCGCTCCGCTGATGTAGTCCAGGGCGAAGATGCTGTTGGTATTCCCTGCAAGGAGAGAGCAACATTCCAGTATGCCCCGGGCCCGGGGCAGGGGGACACGGGCTGCGGAGAGGGCTCCTCTCTGCGCATATTAAGGACAAACCCGTAACTTAACATGGACGCTGGCTCAAGGAGTAATAGCTAATGTTCTGGAACGCACAGCCCAGGCATAGATGGCTGTGATCCACAGAGAGATGATTTCTTGTTCTTTAGTCTTCTTCCATCTCTTTGACAGAGTCAAGAGATGCTAATTTGTCTCTGGCATCTAATGCTTGCTTGTTTTCCTTTTTAACAGAGAGAGCAGGCTTCAGGCTGGGAGCCTTCCAAAGGGAGCAGGACTTAGCCAGGACCCAGCCACCGCTAGGGTCTGAATGCCTCCCCCTCCCCCACCCCCAGAATGCATATGGTGACATCCAAAGCCCTAACACAACCATCTGAATAGGTGGGCCTTTGGGAGGTGCCTGTGAGGTGAAGTGGAGCCTCCATGAGTGGGATCAGTCTCTTATAAAAGAGACCCCAAGGGACCCCACGTCCCTTCCACTGTTTGAGGACAGAGTGAGGAAGCACTGTCTAGAACCAGGAAGGGGGCCCTCCTCTGGCCAGGCCGGCACTCTGATCCTGGATTTCCCAGCCTCCAGAGGAGAAATACGTGTTGTTCATAAGCCACTGGCCCCTATCTTATTTTGTGATAGAGCCCAAGTGGACTGAAGCAGAAGCTCAGTTTTGTTGATTATTTTCACGCTCATTTTCTTTTTTTTATTTTTATTTTTATTTATTTCTAGGAGAGAGAGAGAGACAGAGACAGAGAGAGAGACAGCGTGAGCAGGGGAGGGTCAGAGAGAGAGGGAGATACAGACTCCGAAATAGGCTCCAGGCTCTGAGCTGGCAGTCAGCACAGAGCCCGACGTGGGGCTCGAACCCACAAACCGCGAGATCATGACCTAAGCGAGTTGGATGCTTAACCGACTAAGCCACCCAGGCGCCCCTTTCACGCTCATTTTCTATTCTAGTCCATTCTATCCTAGTCTGATTTTCTACATAGTGGTGGTACAATTAATTCCCTTCCACAATAAATATGGGTCAAAAACCTAATTCGATTTTAAGAGTAAGCATTTAAATAATTATTAAAACTTGAAGTACAGGGGCACCTGGGGGGCTCAGTTGGTGAAGTGTCCGACTCTTCATTTGAGCTCAGTTCATGATCTCATGGTCTTATGAGTTCGAGCCCCGCACTGGGCTCTGTGCTGAACTTGCTTGGGATTCTCTCTCTCTCTGCCCCTCCTGCCTCATACTCACATGCTCCCTACCCCCCCTCTCAAAATAAATAAATAAACATAAAAACACCTTGAAGTACATATATAAAGTACTGGCAAAAATCATACACTGGTGCAGACTGAGGCCTCTGTGTCCACCCCTCTCTTCCCCACTGACTTCATTTTATGCTTCTCCCTACAGGAACCCATGTCCCCCACCCAGGGGCCTCCTCAAGTTCCCCAAATCAACATGTTCATTCCTGCCTCCTCTTATCTCCATGTCCACCTTTCTCACTCGGCTGCACATCCTATCCTCCCACACAGGGCCACCCCTCCTCCTCCTCCAGGAAGGTGGCCCTGCTTCTCTGGCTGACCCTCCGTGCTCACGGGCAGTCGCCACTGTTTTATTCGCTCTCCCACTGCTCCGCGTGTGTTCATGCGGTCTTCCCAGCCAGCCTGAAGAGGAGGGACTTTCATGACTGTCCCTCCAGGAGCCTGGCCAGTGCTGGCCACCCAGAGGCAAGCGTGGCTCCCAAAGGATCACTGCCCCCAGCCTGCTGGGGCCCCCACACTTGTCCTGGTGTCCTTCCCACCAGGCTGTGAATCTGCGCAGGCAGATCCCAATCCCACTCTCGTCCTCATTGACCAGCGTGCTGGTCCATTCACATGCGCACACGCTGCCGTTCCTTCATAGACTCAGCCATCTCCAGGGCAGGTGTCCTGGGGCCGCCTCATGCGTGGTGGTGTGGGGGATGTGAAGGTCAGCCTGTCTGGATTCCTGATGCTGAGGCACTTGCAGCCTGGTAACAGGGCTCTGACATGCAGGAGAATCAGCATCTCTGAGTTCACAGCAGGGAGAGACTGTTCACACAGGGGAAGGCTCAAGGAAGGAAAGCTTCATGGAGGAGGTGGCATTAATTCCCTGTACCACCATGTAGCAGCTGTGTGACCAGGGGCAACTCCCCTAACCCCTGTGTGTCTTGGTCTCCTCGTTTGTAAAATGAGGACAATAATGGATTTAGCTCAGAAGGTCATGACAATTAAATGAGTGTGAAAAATATATACATGCAGGCTTGGAAGAGTTCCTGGACAAAGTACTAAGTATGGCTTGAGCTGGGCCCTGGACCATCGATGGGCAGGACTGGGGAAGGGAGGGGTGGACACTGATTCCATAGGCATGAACTAATCCTCGGGCCTTCAACACACACAGGTAGAAACTCCCGCATCTCTTTACTCGCCCCTTGCCCGGCTCTAAAGGGATCTGTGCATGTTAGCATCTCTTCAATCAACCAAGGAAAGCACAGAGCAGACAATTTCCTCTTCCAACTTTAGACTTTGGGACAGAGACTGTTTTCAGCCACCCCTCTGCTGGTTGGCAAGGCACTCCGCCGTCTTCCCAGCTGCAGGGGTTGGCTGAGGCAGGGGAGAGAGAGGCAGCTGATGACTGCAGAGTCCATGCAGGCCTCATGCCACTCTCAGGCTGCAGGCTCTGGGGACTCTGATGTGGGGCCTGGCCAGGGACTGGACGTCACTCCAGCCTCCCCCTTGTCTAGAGCTTCTTCCTGTAGCCATAGAGAGAGGTGGGTACGTTCCCAGCTGAGTGTGTGGAGTGGGGAGGACGGGGCTGCGAGGAGGCACAGACATGCATGAATGTAAGTGCTCTTTCTTTAGCCAGGACTTCTGCTGCCGGGGAAACAAGGGGATGCATGCTCTCATCTGTTTGTCATTACTAATCCATTCAGCAATGACTGAGCTCCTATGATGTGCCAGGGACACATTCTAGCAGAGGATGCAGCTTTCACCAGGTATTCACATCACAGGGTGATCAGGGTTGAGGTGGGGTGAAGCATGGACATTGCAGGTGGGAGCTGGGTCCTCTGAACCCCTAATGCTGAGCCGAAAGGCTGCCCTGAGGCAACACCTAAGACCCTCTTGCCACCCATTGCCACCCCTCACCCAGCATGGGCCCCACCTCCCCAGCTACCAGGGCTAGCAACCCATCATTCCGAATTTCCATATAAATTTATTCTTCCCAATAAAGGAACCTATCAAATGTTTAACTAAATGTGATTCAATTTTTATCTTTGCAAGATTTTTCTTATAAATCATTCACAAACCAGAAGGCCCTTGTTGAATGATGTACTTTGGTTTTCGGTTTGAAAAATGGGGTTATCAACCCTGGAGTACTCAGTTGGGCCTCCCCACTGAGCACCTTTACCCTAATCATGGCCACACTGCCCATCCCCAACCTGAAATCTGTCTCCGGCCCATAAAATATCCCCTCCCCCAACCCGGGCATCTTCTCCAACAAACCAGCAGGCAAATACTCTCCGATTGGTACACATTCAAGCTCGGGGACCGTCCCCTAACACACACACACACACACACACACACACACACACACACACACACCCTTTTCCCCCATATCTACCTCAGCCTCCTGCCAACTATGAATCACTAACTCCCAGGACCAGCATCTGGGACGGGTTATACCCAGGGAGCTGACAGGGCCATCTGAGTGAGCCACTGGCTCTGATGGTCTCCTGTCACCATGGCAATAGCAGGACTCCCTGGGATGCTGGTTCAGGCATAGAGGGGAGGCAAACCCTGGGCCCCAAGCAGTGGAGGTCAAGGGCAGGGCTCATTCAAAGATGGATGGATTGATTAGATCACTTATTCAATCGAGTTCATGTTGAGCACCTACTGTGTGCAAGGTGTTGGAGAATCCACAGAGAAAAGCAGGTGAGGTCCATGCCTTCAGTCTCACAGCAAAGATCAACAGTGATGATATAATCTTGCTATTGAATGTGTAAATAAATACCTGCTGAGCTCAGGCCACTGAAGGAAAGCAACATGGCAACATGGCATAGAGATGTGGTTAAGATTATGCTCTCGGGAGGTAGACTGTATGGGCTCAGACAGCTCTGTTGTTCACTAGCTGGGTGACCTTGGTCAAGTTGCTTAACATATCTGGATGATCTCGGTTTCCAAGTCTGTAAATTGAGGGTAGTAACAGTACCCACCTCAGAGTGTTGTTGCAAGGATTAAATGAGTGGATACAATGCCTAGCATAGAGGAAGTTCTCGACATGGGTTGGCCACCTGTACTTGCTCAAGATAACACCGCTGTGAACCCCCGCTCCACTCCCACCCCCATCCCACAAGCCTGTGTCTAGAGCTGTTTGCCAGCAGGAACACTGAGCCAGGCCTGCCCTCTTGCCAGGAGGGCCTCACAATGAAAAGCTCATGTGTACAGGCTGGCAGCCCTGAGGCCAAGGCCAAGGCCCACGGGGCATCTCACCAGGGCTCTGGCCTCGGGGTGGGTCACCACTTCCTTACTCCTCTCCCTTAGCTCCCCTCCCACCATCCTCCCTTCCCCGGGGGCCGTGGGCTTGGCAGCCGCACAAACAAGTTTCTCTGCTACCCTGGAAGCTGATACCACCCCATCAGCCCTCTGGTCTCCCAGACTTTCTTTATCCAAGTCCCATGGGGACTGGGGGGCCAGGGGAGGCTTCCCGGGGACGCCTTTCACCTGTTCACAGCCCACACTGCTGAGCAGAAGGGCAGCTGTTTCCTCTTGGTCGACAGGTGCTGTCCATGGTACCTGTGTGTAGACCTGGTTGAGGGGGGTGGAGGTGGTTCTGGGATGCAGTGGGGCCGCACCTCAGCGCCCTAAGGGTTCTGGGAACTGGTGACTTAAAGCGTTCACAAAAGAGAAGAAGCAGGTCGTTACCACCCTGCCAGTTCTCTTGGG